TAGGAGCCCTTTGGAGCGTTTAAGTCACCTACCAGCAGGAGATGACTGAAGTGGTGGCTGGAGAGCAGTTGCTCAAGGGCTCGTATGAGGAATTGCTAATCTTCAGTGGGACTCGAGGGTCTACAGTAGGCCAAACCGAGAGGGAGAGTATCGGACCCGCGCAGCGGGATGTGGATCCAAAGCGCATCGTAAAAAGGCGCAGGAGTGGTGTCAGAGAGAACAATTGGGATGGGCAGGGCCGCATGTAAACACAAAGCAACCCCACTAGCCTTCTTTTGTTTTGAATCAGCTCAATAGACAGAGTAAACATCTATCAAGATCTCCACGTCAGAGATATCTGATGTGAGCCAGGTCTCTGTGAATGCAATTATGGACGATTGTTAAAGGCAAGTTGACTGTTTAATATCGCAAAGTTTGTTGAAAAAACTGAGGCAGTGTGTGGACAGGCATTTCAACACTGTCTCTGCTGCCTCCGAGGGTGACGAGCCGAGAACTGGGTGATCAGAGAGGTAAGCAGTATTAATAGCTGTGCGCCGGGTTTGTGTCCAAGGCTTCAAAGTGGCCTCTGGGGCATAATCATCTGCTTCCTGTTTTGGTGGTTTCCGGGGACGCTTTTTTTGAGGGGTTTCTTCGCCACGCGAAAGCCCGGATTGTTCGGGCCTTTTACCTCTGTGGGACGAAGTTTTCCCTCGTGGGTGTAAATTTCGACCGTTGCTGCTTGCGGCTCATTCAGCACCACCGTTTTAGCGACCAGATTTGCGGTTGATCAAAGATATGCGGCAAGCCATCGCCTTTCTGGTTTCTTTGGCGTTTTGGCGCGGTTTGACCGGAAAGGTGTCCCTGTGGGGTCCTGAGCGCTGGGCGGCGGCATCAAGAAGTAATGTTTTTGGTGGCGCTCTCATGGGGCTCGTTTCCGCAGAGGACTGCACATTGAAACCAACCAGCAGTTTTCCGATCTTGCAGTTTCACATTCTTGATGGTCGTACGGTTGGTGCAGGACTCCTTAATGTCAAGTTCAACGCATGTGGTTGATTTGTCGGTGGGCTTTACTGCACGTCCCTGCAAATCTGACCCAGTCCAGTTCAGAAGCTGTGACTTTGGTGAGGAATTCATGGCTGCACCTGGTCGAGTTGTTACGGAAATGAGCGTTGATAGCTCCATGTACTTTTAGCGCTGCTTTCATGTGAGGCTTTCCTCTTACTGAGTATCACTACCTTCGGTGAACGAGGGGTCTATGGTGGTCGAGTAAAAACTGCTGTCCGGAGACGCGGCCGGTTGCGCCGTCACGGTTTCGGGGGCACAAGGGGGTATGGCCACCATCGGCTTGGCCATGAGTTTGGGGTCGGCTGAAATGGCGTCATGCCTCTACCCTTGATCACCTCTGGCCCAGCTTTTGCGCCTCTAGAGGGCGATCCTTGGGTAACGTTAAAGTAAGACGTCAGCACACAAAATATACAAATCTCGGCCGTATATACTCCAGTTGAACTCCGAAAGTACGAAACAAATGGGCAAACAGGCTCTCACGTGAGACAGTCACACGTGCAGAATGTCGATCACAAAATGGCCAGATGACTTCAATGTCAAATGAGTGAAGTTGTAGGGACAAACAAACGCTAGTTCCTACACACTCACTGAACACATAAATGGGGCGAAGGTTACAAATAGGGACAGAAGAAACGTAGGGAAATTCAAAAATCAAAGAGAGGACGATACAGCCAGTGTAATGTTAACCCGATACTGTAGGTGGCGATCGTCTCCCCCCTCGAACCCACCTAAATGATTCTGATTAGCGACGAAATCACACGGAAATCACGACAGAAGGTGTCAAGGTAGGTCATCAGACGGGGCGGGAAAACGCACACGTATGTATTTCAGCTGCGTGGAATTCAGCCATACACACAATTCAATGTACCACTGCAGGACGGAGCGGCCCTGGTGGCAAGGTGAGTCTCAGGCGAAGTTGAGAATAAACAGTGCTACTAATATGGTTATAGAAGGCGAAGATCAATACTATATGGGTGAATTAAATGATGAGGTTATCATGGGGTAATCATAACTACTTCAAATTAATTTGAATCCACTTATTACTTCACTGAGGCTTCCGAGCATTACAAAGCTGGACAAATGGATAAGCTCTCATAAGCTGACGGTCTTCTGACACACGAAGTGCATGCAGTAACTAGCGTTGCTCATGAGGCGTGGGTAGTTTGTATGTCGTGATAGAATTCCTTCCTCATAAACTCGTCTAGCGTACCTCAGCACTACCGATCCGATATTCCTACCAGACCCAACTAACGTTTTGGAGGCGCCGATTGGCAAACACCGACAGCTACCAAATGCCATCTGTGCGTAGAGATCATGTGTGTAGTCCATGAAGCAGTAGGATGGCGCCATCGCACCTAAAATTCTGCTTTGACAGAGGTTCGCCCTGGATTTCCAACTGAAGGAGTCATCTCCTTTCCATCCAGTTGAACGCAACTCACACAACTGCCCAGGTGGATAAATTAATCTGCCATGTAGACGAGCTCGTCTGTGAGCATACAGGCCAGGTTTTATCAATCTCGGTATTGTAGCAGCACTCTACATTTTGCAGGTGTGAGGAGATTACAAAGTCGTGTTAAAACTATTTATTTTGCCTTGTATTTTGTAGGACCTGAACCAGGAAGGATGATATCATCCTCATACTCAGTGCCTGTGGTCAAGCGTCCAAGATCATTTCAACGCCAGAGTTTCCGGAGGCTGGCTGGGAAATTTTAACCCAACGCAAATGTTGAAGAAAAAATGCAAGAGCGAAGCCTTGTCTTATGCCGCTGGGTGGATAATATTATTGACAGTGTTTGTTCCCGTCGGTGATTGGCATACTGTCAACCCGAAGCTGGATGTATCTTCATGCCCAAACACATGGGACCGTTTTAAGTGATGCAAATATGGGCTGATTGCTCCTAATCGCCAGACACCAGACGATCAAAATAGTCAAAGCAGCCTTTGCCTCGAAAAAATTGGCAAACTTTGGGCCTTCAAAAGAGTGGTCTGATTCAAGAACTTGGTACAAAATAGAGAGGTTATTTATGCATTCTAGGCCCGTGCGAGACTCGGCTTGATTCTCTTGAATCTGTCTCCACCACCAATCGATAAAGCCTATTGAAATATTGCAAAGCAGCACCTTGGATGCGATGAGTAAAGGGCTTTGCATCTATGGCTTTTGCATAATATTCCTCGGCACTTTCTTAAAACCAGAATGACGTTCGAGGAGATCCATTTTGCTGGCACTCATTTTCTCCCAAATCTTCCAAATTGTTGTCAGATTTCACTGAGGCTTCACCAGTGCCACCACGAGGACATTGTGCTATATGGCTTCGGACAAGGAAAATTGCACTCTGTTCTTCCGTCGCTGGCCGTGGGCTGGTGCCGACTTCCATTTCAGATTTGTTGGAATTTTTCAGATGTGTCGTAGGAGCACAGCAGAGCTTTTCTTTAGGGCTCATCACTCCAGAAAGCGAGTCCTGAGTAGAGTTTAGTTGAATCTTTTCCGCAACTTCTTCTGCCAGAAATATTTAGTTCGATTGGTTGATCGGATTTTCTGAAATAGGACGCAGCTATTGCCGATACGAAGACCTCCATCTCCTCGGCCCCTGTAATTAACAAGTGTTCACTCTCATTCTTCAAAATCTTGGTTATTCAGGGTTTGAGGGACATGCGTGTGTCATCGGAGTCACTCACGGCTAATATGGATTTTCCAGCGGTAATAATACCTGCTGATTCCGACTATATCAAACATTCATATCTTAGAGTCGGACGGCAAGAGGGAAATTTCTTAAAGTGTCGAGCGTGGCTCACTTGAACCGCTTCTTTCGCAGATTTTTCTGCCAGTAATATTTGTTTTGACCGGTTGATCGGATTTACTAAAATGGGGCGCAGCTTTTGCCCGAAACGAAGACCTTCATCTCCTTGGACCCTGTAATTAACAAGAGTTCTCTCTGACTCTTCAAGCTCTTGGTTATTCGGGGTTTGGGGGACGTGCGTGTGTCATCGGAGTCACTCACGGCTAACATGGACTTTCCAGCGGTAACATTACCTACTGATTCCGACCATACCCAACGTTCATAACTTAGAGTCGGGCGTGGCTCACTTGAACCGCTTCTGTTCAACCTCCGAAAAATATCCATCATTAACGCAGGATTGCGGTTCTAGCAGCTTCCTAGCCAGATTTGGCCAGGCTGGTAAATGAAACTGCTCTTTCTCCGTCCATGTAATGATGACGGGAAGCGATGCTATAATGCAACCCGCTAAAAAAGTAAAGTCATTATGCGTACCCCATTAGACAATAGCCTTCAACTGATAGTCAGAATGTGTATTACAGACTGGTGGCTTTCCACTGGTGGTTGATAACCGCATGAGCTGACTTAGTCCATGATTGGCTTGAGGTTGGTGCTCTTCTAATGACCGGATGTAAATGCTTGTGCTGGTAGTTCGTACTGGCCAGGAACGGACGACATCCTCCATACGAGTAAAAATGGCGCATCCGCACTCTGCTGATTGACTCTTAGTCGGTCAATAAATCATGCTTCTGCTGGGTTAGTCGCCCAACTTGAGGAGTGGCATGATCCGCCAGGATGACTGTGTCTGTTATTCTTGCTGACCAATGCATTCGCAAGAGATCTTGCGAAAAACGGTCTTTCTCAGACTCAAAACCGCAGTCTTTGGGAAATATGGCCAGCAAACACCGATTTATTGCATCAAACTACACCGCTTTTATTCGAAGCTGGCAACCTACAGTGTAAAGATGACTGTTTGGTTGGATAAAACTCAGTGAAATGTCCTCAGCCTTTGGACCAAGTGCAACTCCAACGCCATAAAAAATGAGCTATTGCTTCGGGTTCATGACGCACCTGGAGAGCGGATTTTGAAACACACAATCTCATCCTAAGCTGTGGTTTTTTGCATGAATTCTTGGGAAAAAAGCTTCGACAGGAGGGACAGGCAAGTTTAAGGTGCTGGGTGCCCCATGTCCCATTTGACGGAAAGTAGGCACGTTGAAGTCTGCAAATTGAACAAAATNGGAATTTGGAAGGGTAGCAGCTCGCTTTAAGTACCACACGTAAATTCCAGTTTCCTGGATGAACCAAGGAATGCACAAGGTTGGTACTTCGTCTTAATATTGGAAGCTCAAATGAGTAAATTTTGTGATGATCAAGTGCACTTGATCTGTCCGTCTAGTCAGACAAATCGGTCGCAACCGAATGCAAAGTAACATGGTCACAACGCAAAGGCCCATCCTTAGACGCACACCCTAAATTTCTTTGAAACCATAGTTGGAATGAAGGAAATATTTACAAAAGTTTCAGAATTTGATGACATTGCTTCGAAACCGTAAGATCCCCGAGATGGTAGCAGATCTGCTGAAACTTGTTTATTCGTATTTAAGGTCTAGTATAGGCGTGGAAGTCCCATTTTTAATGGTTACCATAGCTTAGCTAAATCTGCCTACGATGGCCGTGGAAAGTTTCATGGCGATGTGAAGTTGGAGGCTGAAGTGAACTTACTTCCCGTAAATTTCCAAATCCGAGGACCCCTTAGACTCGATTAAGTTAATTTTTGTTTGCTTCCATTGATCGGCCAAGCGAAGCCAGTCCTGAAATGGGCAATCAAATAAAGTTCCATTCAATCCTCATATTGCTAATCATGGTGTGGATGTCAACTACACCTTAGATACTAATTAACTGCAAGCATAAATGAAATAATCACCCATCAAACCACTCAGTTGCGATTTCTCCTCGCATGTCTGGCCGATTGCCAGGCTCGGTGAAGGGACCAGCCGCAATGAAAGTATACAAAATCGCATTCACAATGGAGACGAGAACAAGATATCATTATCGCTTCTAAGCTCAAAATTGTATGAACTGAGACCAAATGGCCACCGCACATACTTCAGTTCACAGACTTTCAATAGTTCAAGTACGGATTTTTTCGTTTAGTCGAGGTGTACTGGTGTGAGTGTCACCTGAACCCAGCTCGAATTGTCCATCTATTTTCGACGTGCCTGTCGTCTTCAGGTGCGTTTTACTCAAGTTAATCAGAAAAAGATTACTAAAGCCTGATATATCCGTTTGCAAACCTATTTGGTTTTACGACAGACTCAGCTGAAACCAAGCTGAATCTTTCGGTTGTGATTTTTTCAAGCAACTGAATGTGCTGTAGCAGGCCGTCTCATGTTCAAGTCGGCACGATTTTCGAGATATCGTGATACATCTATAGCCGTAATACCCTACTCTTAGGTTGCTGATAATCGATGGAAAACATAAGGTTGACGGAAACTCGGGAACCGCCCCTATCTGACGAGCTCCAAGAAGGGCGAAACCGGTCATGGGCTGTCGAAAGGTTTTCAGCAACCTTATGAGTAGTGTATGACATCTGTCAACAAGGTCCGTTTTCATCATAGTAGCTAAAAATGCGTTGGCAACCTAAAGAGCGGCTCATTGCTACTCTGCAAAACCATGGTGAATGTAACGCACGATCGTCGTACCTGAAGTCATCACACTTCTGGGTTGAGCCCAATGAGTCTGGTGCTTCTGAACGCCGAATGCAGATAAACTCTGTTATTTTGGAATCTGATTGTTTGTTTCTGGCCACATTTCCGTAGCATTTCGCTGATAAATAAGCCGCGCGCGGAACACGATTCAAGAAACCCGGTGACAAGACTATTAAGCCATTTCGTCTCCCATCGGTGCCCTCCTTCGGGAGACAGCCACCCCGGAACACATTCGAGCTATCAAGTCGGCTTATATGGGATTTTGTGATGAGACACTTCACCGGTCAATTAATTATTTGATGTAACTTTGTTTCACAGTCATTTACAGGAACTCCTGTCTGGAATATCATTCAAGAACAGAGTTAAAGATAAGTTTATGAACTGAAAACACTTATAGCAAGGTCAGTGAACGCAACTGGGTCAATGCTGTGTAGCGTGGGATGTCAGGAAGTCAGCGGTATTCGACGTTCGAGAGGACGGCACACGTCAGTTCTGAAATGTGCAAATATACGGACTGGTATCAATGAATCCACACAGTATACACAGCACACATGCGCACAGGTCGGGTGGTACAGGGAAGAAGACCGGAGCGTGGCAACAACGCACGTGTGTTAACCCGAACCGAAACCGGAAGAAGAGAGAGTACAAGGTTGGGTCAAGGTCAGTTAGGGGGTGTACAAGCGGGATACTCTTCCCTGTCCAGGGCCCGTGGTGACTCGTCCGTGGTACCTGCAGTAGGGGAAGAGAGGGAGGGAGAGGCACACATAATGTCATATGATGGACATACAGTCAAGTACAGTCGGGTTTCAAATGCGTTACAGCTGTCAGTTTCAAATCTAGCGGATTTTCGACACAGATAAATTAAAACAATTACCTCAGACCCACATGAACCGCTTGCACTCGATTCTGCTCTGCTTGGAGCTCATCAGACTAATGACGAACGGTATATAAGCGCAAAAGTAAACTTTCAGTCAAATGGCAATTTAGGTCGGTGGATGATTTTACCAGTTACAAGATCACGTCCCCCTGATTGAACCCAAACTTGGCGAGACCCGTAGCGAGGTGGTATGTGTGCGGAATAACATGAATGTATTATCAACTACGAGCGACCTTATCGCTTTTCCAGTTTCCGAAATTTCGTTATGCTTAAAACCACTAGAGAATCGCCGGTGTCAGGCGCTTGTAAACTCTACTAATTCCGCGTTTGAGCTTTTTAGGTCCTTCCACATAGTACTCAATATTCTCCCCCATCTTCAACCTAATGTCTTCCCCAATCGTTTGCATATTCCAATTCAAACCAGGAAATCTCCCATATTACTGATAATCAGGTTATCATTGGGAACATTCTGAGGACCGAGAGACATCTTGCGCAGGACTATTTGACATTCAAGTTGTCTTTTTAAAATATTGATTTATTTCGGCACCCATACACCCCAACTACTTGAATGACAGAGTAAGAATGATTTACATTCATCGCGTTTGATGCAAATTCACTTTCATGAGGACCATCCACAGCCTTGGTGCAAACAATGTGTGCTCAACAGACTTATATCTTAAAAGCCTCATGGATACCGATTAAGTCACAAGCGGCAACCGAAAGCCAATTGGCTAGAGGAAGGAAGCACTTGTACTAAGCACCACACCAATATCACCGCTTTGAAGTTCCTCCAACCCATTCCACACTTGGTCACATTTTGTTTCATCGAACTAAGTGAAACTATCCTAGCTAGACAACGATAGGTTCTTGCTTATTTTCCTGTAACAGAATGACGGGAACCATTCTGAAGCTTTGTTCGAGCCTGAGCGGTTTCAGTCTCAGAAACAGTAAGCAAAATGAAGAACGTGTCCTAGTGATCAGTGTATGGTTTTACCGTACGGATGTGCACTCACAGACAAGAGATAGGCTGTTCTGAAGCAACTTCTAAAGTATTTACACGCGACTAGTCACAAAGTACCCATTTCCAAGGTCTTTTGAGCCCATACACATAAGTTATTCGTTCATAATCTGAAGCCCACCTGCAGAGCTCCATAGAGCGAGAAATCGGGAGTCAAGGAGCACTCAATAACGTCACATGTGTTTGCTTATAAGGAAGAGTACTTTTATATCTTGGCAACATTCCTAATGACTTCTTTTTTACCTGCTCAATAAGAGAACACGATGGACGGGTGATTTAGCTTTGTCGCCATCACCTTGATTCGCACGTTTGGTATTCAGGTTCGAATCAACTGGGTGAAGAATTGTGGCCGAAACTGATTGATGTAATCCCACAATCGACTGTCTAAGAACTCTTGGCGACTCGGCAAGCGATATTACATCAAAGTCTGTTTGTGCCGGTTAGTTCATTTAAATAAATCTTCATTGAACTAAAAGAACTGGTTGATTTCTATGGTATGGTGTCGTAAAGGATACTAAAAAAACGTTTGAGGCAAGCCACAGTGAAGTCATCAAATGGGTCAGTTTCGAATGTCTTACGTAGAAAATTTCGGGCAAACTGTAATGTTGAGAAATGGGGTCGGCTGGCCTACCCAAACCTGAATAAGAAACTCTAGCAAAGGCATTTCGCCTTTAGAGTGTGCTCTTGCATAACAGTAAAAACAGCGACGATTACTGGTAGCCCAGGGATCCTTGTGGTCTCATGCACCACTCAGTTTCCCTACCCTTGTTTGGCACACCAACTGTGGAAGTTTCGAACGGGGGGCGCTATGTGCGTATCTAACGCCAAACCACATTGTCTGAGTCAAGCTCAGTAGACAGGTGTTCGCTCATCCGGTGGAGGAATGCGTCAGCTATAACTCTTGAGCGGTAGTCAGTCGAAAAAGCTGAAACGGACACCGGATAGTCGTACTAAAGCCTCTCCTCTCAGGATGCGCAAACACAAGTTGAGGAATCCGTTTTCAGAATGGTCTCCTCCAGATGACAATGCAATGGACAAAAATCCGAGTTAGCAAAACGGTCTACCCAATGAAGACTTTCCAAAATTGAGATTTCTTCAAGGGATAGGTAACCGGAAGTTTGACGACCTTGACGTCAAGTAAACTGATGTCCAACTTCGTCAGCCTGTTTTTCAAGCCGTAAAAATTGATGAGATTTTTCTTAGCAATCTTGTGAACAACTTTANGAAAGGCTTACGGCTAGATTGAACCTTGGGCAGTTAGCAACACAGGATGGCACACGAAGGGCAGCGTGCTATCGGACAAATTAAGCGGGAAAATTGTTCAGTTCAAAGTGGAACAAAATTTCAACAAGTCCATGGATAAATGTAAACAAATCGTCTATAGAAATGGTTGAGGTAGAGTTGGCTTTGTATAAAATAGAACGGTTCAGTCTTGAAACTTGAGCAGTCACGGAGGGGTGATGAACTAGCCTGAGGACTAGGAAAACAAATAATTACGTCACGTAATTAAGAGGCTCCTTGAGGTGACAACGCAGTGGACAAACATCCGAGTCGGCAAGAAGGTCTGCTCAATGAGGGCTTTCCAAGTTGGAGATTTCCTCAGGAGATAGGTACTTCGATGTTCACTATCTTGGTGTCAAGTAGACTAATGTCCAACTTCGTCAGCCCGCTTTTCAAGCCATAAAAATTGATGAAATTCGTTTCAGCACTTTCGTGAACAACTTTCTACAAGTGTGCATTTTTGTCTCCTCAAGAAGACATTACCCCAACAAGTTTAGGTGGACATTTAAAAACGGATAAGTAAAGCTTTTCGTGATAACTTTAAAAAAACTGATGACCATCAGTTCAGTTCAGTTTACCGGAGGTTCGTTCGTGTGCGCTTGAGCTTCCTTGCTCTGGGCCTCGCAATCGATGAATCCTCTTGGAATGATCAGTGGTTATTTTGGGGTGAGTATTCATTGATCGCTTGTGACGAGGTCAAAATTGAATTAATTGTGGATCCTGCACTATACGCCAAAAAAGCCCATAGAAGGTCAGTCATGTATTTTAAGGTGATGGAAACTTAATTTTTCGATTCGGGCCCTGTTTAGTAAAGGCTTTTGACATCTTTTCACTCCAGACACTGTGTATTTTGAATGAGTTTTTTGTCTACGACAGCGGGTTTGTTTCTACGGAAAAAAGTCCTTAGAAAAGTTGTTTCCTCCTAACACTTGTTTGTGGAACATCGCTCTTTGGACACTTTCCCCAATAAAACAGTTGACCTTGGAGGATGACCGTCTACCATGATTATTTTGGCTGCCATTTTAATGAATAAACCTGCAACAGCGACGAACTTTCAAAGAGTCAAACGTTCCGGGGAATCCGCAGCTCTTTGTTCCTTCTTATGTTTATCAGATCTTTTTAGGTTGTTCAGTGAACTTCTAAGTAAGTTTTTAGGGGCAAAAACGCGTTCTGCACTGATATGTCCGACCAGAATCGCACCTCTCAATCATATTGCGTCATCAGACGTGGCTGAATTCCACGTTGTCACGAATTGGCAGATTTCTTGGGAAGGATACGCTCTACTGAGCCATAAGTTCGTCCTATAAGTGACTGTCATTCAAAGACATATCTGAAGCCGTTTGGTTCAGACACATGAACTGGTCAGATCGATTCAAGCCATCTCAAGTCATTTCAACTCGTTTGGAATTAGGTCAAGTTATATCAAGTCAAGTCGACCCGACGACAGCCCACCGGTGAGTTTCGAGATCTGAGTGAATGGCATCACGAGGCATGAAGTTGCAGTCCTTGCTAATGCATTCTCAAACCATGGTCGGTATCACCTTCAAAAATAGTCACTCAGGCTGGTTTGGTGCACAACAAAGTGGTATAAGACAAAATAGCGTTGAGCAGCAGAGTTGTACTGATTAACTACTCTAATATGTTTCAGTAGGTAGAACATAAAGCTGCTGATTGGTTGTCTCGTAGTCTTAAACCGACCTTACCTTCTCGAATGCTCCTATCTAGGTTTGAGCGACGTTGTGACGTCTCAACCCTCGCAGCTATTTCGATTGTATAGCATCTATGCACTGAAGGATAATCGTGTAATCAATTATTAATCGATTTTTGCAGGTGCGATTACGCTCAACTGTTAGTTCAAATAAATCCAGAGTGCGTGGATTCGGGCAAACTACAGGAGTGTCACAAATGTAGCCAACTTAATTGTCACCGGTATATTTACACCTTAATGGGGAAATTGGGATACTCTGGACAGTTACGCGGGGGGACACCGCGAAGCTTGAGAATAGAGCCATTTCTTATGGTTAAAATTTCACGACAGCTGGCCGTTGCTACCCCTGAAACGGTGATACTATTGATGGGAAGTTATGCGAGTAGTATGTTTTCCCGTAAATCCGCTTTGAGTCTCTTGAAAAGTGATATCTATTACGAAATGTGTGGAGTCGTATTTGCTTGGAGTTGAGCAACAGTCAATGAATATCCAGGAAAGTTCAGAGAGACGCGTTCAAGGAGAAGACGGATATTCCGTTTTTGTAAACAAGATGCAAATGAGAGTTTTGCTTCCCTGTCCAATAGACTGTAACTGTTCAGTTGGTGTTTTCAAATAAACAACTCCGCAGGTGAAAGCCTCTTCCTTTCACCCCGGCCAGATAGACCGCGACTTTTCTAACTTGCAATGGTAAAATTCAAACTCGAGTTTCCTTGACCGGAAGGTCCGTGGTTCGAACTCAACTCTGGTGATCTGGCAGTATCCCAACTCCCATGATCCCTTCAGGCACCGTGGCAGCTTGGCACCGAAAGTGTCTCGCACATGAATGATTATTTCTATGGTGAATAGTTTTGGTAATTGTTTCTTGGTCCGCAGTCAATCAGCGAATCTTGTAACCAAATCGCTTGGATCGATAAACTATTGCTCTCAGAAATGAGACGATGAACTTCAACATTTTCTAAAACAGTCAACTCTCCACATTTGTAGCTGGGACTATGAATTGGTTCGTAAATACAGGTCTATCAAAGGACTTTTAAGTGGGTGGGGGAAAGGTAGCTATGCGTTGAAGGCAACAGCTTGGATTCACGAGCGCCACCGAGTGGCGGCTACAACCACTGTACGACAAGTACGCAATGCTAACAGGTGGTGATGTTGACCGTGGTTTTGTCAATTACAGAACTCACATTCACATCACTTTTGTCCTAATGAGCACTCGAGTTCTCAGTGCTCCTTTCTTTGATATGGACGCTCCAGAATGTGTTTGAGGACAGAGTAGAGATCATTCGAACCGAGATGATGTAAACTAGACATTTTAAGCGGTTCCATTTTTATGACTTGATAACCTGCACATATTCGATCACTAGTGAATAACACTCACACAAACGGATATTCCGATCGTCATCCATGTATCATTCCTACCGAAGTCTTCCGCACCATTTGGACCACTTTTGAGCCGATTTCCCTCACGCATTGTTCATTTTGTGTGCTGTATTTTTCTTGAAATTTCGTCCTGAAAGTGAAGGCCACTGATGCTGAAATGCCGAGGAACACCGCACAGCTGTTT